TCTATGATTAATTTTAAAGAATAACAATGAAGACTTTTTTGGGCATACCTAGGGTTATCACCCTGGCACTCACTGCAACAATGAAGAAGACACATCTTTTGAGTGAGACAGCTGGCAAAACCAAGAATCAAACACTTGACCTTTGGTTACGGATGAATGAGTCCCTTCCACTCAACTACACCCTCTAGGTTAACATAAAACATTATTGACACAACTTAGTATAAATCTGGATTATTGTTACACTAACGAGGATATACGTATCTATTTGACTAGTATTTTTTATGTGCAAAATTTACAAAAAAATAGATGTCCAATATTAATACTTTACACTGAACTTTTAACTTTATTTAAATTTTAGATATTTAAATTATTGTAAATAATAATAATAATAATAATAATAATAATAATAATAATTTAAATTTGATATTTATATTTTAAGAAATAACTACTCTGTAACATATAACTCCAATATATTATTATTATTATTATTATTATTATTGTTGTTGTTGTTGTTGTTGTTGTTGTTATTATTTTTGTTATTGTTGTTGTTATTATTATTATTATTATTATTATTATTATTATTATTATTATTGTTGTTGTTGTTGTTGTTGTTGTTGTTGTTGTTGTTGTTGTTGTTATGGGAAAATAACATTTCCGAGTTATATACTTATAGCACTTTTCCCCCCTTAATTATTCAAATGGTAGTTTTCCCCCCCTGAAATGTTAAATGAACATATTTATCCTTAAAATAAATATTCAATTTATTTTTCTTATCCAACAAATTATGACCACGATTTAGTTCAAACCGAACAGACACTATAGCAACCAAATCGAAATATTTCGATTACAATTTAGAATCAAAACCCGATATTTAGAGTTTATTAAAATCGCGAATCGGAACGGCCGGTTCATGTTCCGAACTGAAAAAATATATATATACATTTTTTGTTGAATTTATATTATTTTAAAAATAAATAATAAAATTTTAAAATAAAGTTTGAACCAGTAGTTCAAATTGGATCTGGAACCGTGAACCGACGGTTCAAAATAAAAATCAAATCGCAGTCATATATACTTATATGTTTGAATCAGAATAAATGTAAAAAAAGAACATACACTATCTGTAAATGTTATAATTCTAATTTTAAACTAATGCTAGTAGTTGTTCCAATTCGAATCGCCAGTTCACGGTTTAAGATTCAGTTTTTTCGATTCTTGATTTTAATAAACTGAAATTCAAATATTGGGTTCTGTCTGAATCGTAACCATAAACTATCAATTCGATTGATATAGTGTCTGGTTTAGTTCGAACCGAACCGTGGTCATCCCTACGTATAAACAATAATTTGTTGGAGAAGAAAATAAATAAAATGTTTATTTTAAAGGTAGAAATGTCAATTTAATATATCAAACGGGAAAATCGCCACTTTTAAAATAATTGAGGGGACTAATATGCTTACATTAATAATTAAGGGGAAAAATATGCTATAAACATATAATTCAGGGAAAAAAGTATCATTTTCCCTATTATTATTATTATTATTATTATTATTATTATTTTCCCTACTATTATTATTATTATTATTATTATTATTATTATTATTATTATTATTATTATTGTTATTATTATTGTTATTATTATTGTTATTATTATTATTATTATTATTATTATTATTATTATTATTATTATTATTATTATTATTTTCTTAAGCGCATTGCACGATTTGGATAGTGTTGATAAATATTATTTTTATTGTTATTTTAATTAATATTTTTATAGTTAATTTGTAATAATTAATTAATTTATATATAATTTTATTTATTATTTTGATTAAGTAACTTTGTTAATATTTTTCATTTTTAGGTTGTTTTTATTAAATTGATTTTATTATTTAAATTATGTTAGTCCAATAATTTCTTGATCCTAATTTAATGATAATATTAATAATTTTAATAGTACATGTTCAGCGTGAGTTTAATAAATGTAGATTAGTTATATATGGTCTCTAATAAGTTTATTATTATTATTATTATTATTATTGAGAAATAAGGGGATGCAGAATCAGATTTGCGGACGATATTATTCAACATATTCGGTTAGCGGAAAGCCTGCACGAAGGATTTTCGATCGGCGTTCCCGGGTTCACGTTCTTCAACGAAAATCTAAAATAGGAGAAACCGTGGCTGGTGTAGGAGAAGCGGTTGGAGACTAAACAGTATAAAAGAGGGCGATTCGAGGAGGAAAGAATCATCAAATTCACTACGAACCAATTCTGGAGGCGGCAACCGTTGCTGGTGTTCGGCGGTGTTGGACATCAATTTTCGGATTTTGTAACTGAATTGGTTATCTTAATAGTGCTTTGATACCAACAGTGCTCGGATGCCAAATGTGCCCTGATATCAATTTGTTGAAATTAAACAAGAATTCATTAGTAAGTTGATCTATTTACTGTACTTTTTAACCTATCGCACGCTATCATAACGCAAAATTCTGTATTTACTGTACTTTTTAACTTATCGCACGCTATCATAACGCAAAATTCGAATTTTGTACTTGTATTGTTTATCTCAATAGTGCTTTGATACCAACATTGCTCTGATACCAACATGTAATTCCAGTGATATCTAGACCTTTCGGAGACGCTGTTTACCGTCAAGTGTACCCTCATATTTTGTGGCCTTGGGCCCATCATAGAGTGTTGTACATGAACCTTTCCAATATTACTGAATTCGAAATGGTTGAGGTTCCTATTGGCCCCTAATGACAACCTGGGCACGCTTTAGGTCATCAATTGACAAGGTGGTATTTGAACCAGAGCTAGATGGGGATAAAACCTTAATCAATGATGGCCTAGGTAAAAGAGAACTCTACATCTTACGAAAGCACTTGACGGGGAATAAGCTGAATTTTGACAAAGTAGTATGTGTGGCAATCTATACAGTACTTGGGGTTGAGCCACCTCTATTCAGTTACGATATGGTAGTTCGCCAACCTATTCAAGAAGGTTGATTTATACTCCACCTTCTTAATAATCAAGGACAGATTGTAAACTGAGGATTTTGGTGGCTTATGACTGAGCGAGTATTACATTCAATTGTTTGTGTAGTTCTTGGTGATAATGCTTGAATTAGTCTGTTGTATACATTTGGTTTTGATATCTGTAATACGTTACGTTGTTTTCAACCACATAGCATTAAATATTTAAAGTTGATTTGAGTTGATGTAATTAAAATAAAAAGTATTGAAGAGTTCATAGAAGTAATGAAAAGTGAGTTAAAGATAAGTATGTTAGAGGACTTTGTTACTTCGAATTTTGTAATTGAATTGGTTATCTCAATAGTGCTTAGATACCATCATTGCTCTGATACCAACAGTTCTCTGATGCCAAATGTGCCCTGATATCAATTTGTTGATATTAACAAGAATTCATTAGTAAGTTGATCTATTTACTATACTTTTTAAACTATCGCACGCTATCATAACGCAAAATTCTCTGTACCATCAAACTTTGATACTTCGAATTTTGTACTTGAATTGTTTATACTTTGAATTTTGTAATAGAAATGTTTATCTCAATAGTGCTCTGATACCAACATGTAATTCCAGTGATATCTAGACCTTTCGGAGAAGCTGTTGACCGTCAGGTGTACCCTCATATTTTGTGGCCTTAGGCCCCCTTCCTTAGGCCCCCTTCCCAATATTACTGAATTCGAAATGGATGAGGTTCCTGTTGACCCCTGATAACAACCTAAGTACGCTTTAGGTCATCAATTGACAAGGTGGTATTTGAACCTGAGCTGGATGGGGGATAAAATCTTAATCAATGATGGCCCAGGTAAAAGAGAGCTCTACATCTTACGAAAACACTTGACGGGGAATAAGCTGAATTTCTACAAAGCGATGGCAACGGGGCGGGGCGGGGGCGAGGAATGGTGTCCCCGTCCTCGAAATGTCTCCCCATTCCCCGTCCCCACGGGGACTTTTCAGGGACGGAGAATTCCCGCCTTGTTTTTCATTTATTCTTTTAAAAAAAATCAGAATTAGTCAAGTAGTACCAGATAATAGTATTAGTCAAGTTCTTCTTAAATTAACATACTAAATCATAATTTTGTTCTCTAATCTAAGTTAATAATACAAACATCAGCATACTTCTCCAATCTAAATGCATAGAAACAAAAATGATGGAATCAAAGCATTTGGAATTTATGACTATCAAATCCCGCCACATAACATCCCAATATGATAGTATTCACAATAATTTTGTACATATATTTTCATAGAAATCTCACGGAAAATTCACACAACAATCAAAATCTATCAGTGTAAAGCAATGTGAAGAAGAAAATAAAACATATTGTTTTCTTCTTTCTTTCTATTGAATCCAGAGTTAGTCTAGAAAATAGAAATGGAAGAACCTACAGAAATTACCTACAAATTAGGCAAACTAGGAGGAATTGAAGCAGGCAGTAAGAAACTATCAAACTAATTGAAAGAGAAGAGTAGACGACTAATTCACACATCTTAGGGAGAGTCCACCATCATTTAAATACAAGCTAGAGGGCAAATGATATGAAAACCAGTTTCCATATATCTCAAAACCCTAATCTTCAGTTTCCTAATATGTAGGATTTTTAATATATTGAATGTTCTATAACACTCCTCCTCAAGTTGGAGCAAAGATATTGATCATGCCCAACTTATCACACAATTGTGAAAAACTTCTTGTCTTGGTATCAGAGCCAGGTTTGATTTTATGTCTCCTAAAAACTCTGGATACCGAGGTACGACCTTACTTAAACATGATTTGTTCTATAGGCTCGTACCTCTGTATCATTGAGTTCTAAGGAGACAGGAAATCAAACCTAGCTCTGATACCAAGACAGAGAGTTCTTCACAAAGGTATTTCACTCTTCAGTCTATTAACATGGTATCAGAGCCATAGCAATAAAAAAATTGTTACACAATTGTGAAGAACTCTCTGTGTTGGTATCAGAGCTAGGTTTTATTTTCTTTTCTCCTTAAAACTCAAGGATACAAGTGTGCGACCTTAATTAAACAGGATTTGTTCTATAGGCTCGTACCTCTGTATCATTGAGTTCTAAAGAGAGAGGAAATCAAGCATAGATCTGATACCAAGACAGAGAGTTCTTCACAAAGGTGTTTTTCTCTTCAGTCTATTAACATGGTATCAGAGCCATTGCAATAATTTTTTTTTTTTGTTGCTCCCTGTCGTCACCACCAGTCCAGCAAGCTTCGCTGGCGTTCGGCGACCCACTCCAAGAAGTTAGCCACCGATCTGCCTCCCACGTGGCTCTCACGCGCCACCGTCAACCGCTACCACCTCCGTCACGCGCCAGCGCGTGCGGCATCTCCGACGACCGAAAAAGTTTCCGGTTGGTAGTTCTAAGGTCGCCTAAGTCCAGAGTTCTCTGATCTGGACTTAGTTTGGGTCTCCTGAGTCCAAGGGCTCTCTGAAAACCCTTTTGTACAGTAACAAAGGGGACAACCTCGGCGTCTAAGCACCATCAAAAGGTAGCTTACTACAATCAGATAAAGTACTACTAACAAAAGTACTGGTCTAGTATCTACAACAACTAGAACTACTCACTCAACTATCACGTGCGCTCTCAAGAACTGGGCCCACCTGAAAGGGGTTATAAAACAAGTAGGAAAATAAACCCGTTAGCAAATTAATGCTAAGTATAAAGCCACTCAACCCTGTAAAGTACTATAGATATAGATTGGAAAATATTTTGCATTTACACACATTCTCAAGTATGAATATAAGCAATCAAGGCACTTAGTCATAGATCTCAATATATATATACATATATACTTCTATATGCTCGCAACCTATAACTCATATAAACATGTTTTAACTCATAACTCATGCTTGAACACATTCACATGATATAAACAGATATAAACCAACTATAGTATACTATGCACTTCTCACAGTCATACTAATAGATAAAGAGATAACTGAAGCTTAACAAGTAAAATCATGTTTTCATGCTAACACTTAAACAACGATAAAATTGTACTTCTCAAATGATCTAAATGAAACATATGCTAAGTCATGATACAAGTAAGGATATGATGCTATAGATATATAGATAGATATATATACTTATACTCTCGCTCTTATTAAAAGAAATACTTTTTCTATGGAGGATCTCTGTTGAGTCACTTGACTCGCTTTTCTCTTCTTTCTTTCTTTCTTTCTTCCTTTCTGTTGAGTCACTTAACTCGCTTTACTCTTCTTTCTTACTTGCTTTCTTTCTTCTTTTTCAACCTTTCTCATGATTCTCTTTTCTTTTCTTTCTCAATCTTTCTCTGTATGCGAGGCAGGTACTCCGTCGTAGCGAAGCCCTAGCGAACGGTGCATCTCTTGCAACCGCCACATCCGTATCAACGGAACCTCAAACTCGTGGGGAGGTAGGAACTTCACGAATCGTGAATGGACCTATCCGGACTCGCAAACATGGGCGGCCTAATACTCATCTCGCCCACAGAACCGGTACTCGTGGTTCTTAATCTTTCTTTCTCTGTGAAATCAGGTATCGTACTTTCAATGTGCACACCCCCTAACCGAGATTCCAAGCCCAGCGGATAGTGTCAAACCTAGCAACTTGGGAATATCGACCAAGTTACTTCTAGAATAAACTGTCGGTCCTCTGTGACCGTTTCTTTCTTTTCTCAAACTTCTTTCTTTCTCTTTTCTTCCGAAAGGACATAGTCCTAACGGGGGCCTCCAAAACATAGATTTTCCTCACTTATATAGATAGCATATATATCTCATGCAACTTCTTTTCTCATGCAAACAATCTCAATATTATGCAAGCTTCTCAATGCACAAATACATATCAAATAACTTATCTTTCACGTTTTGGAAATCAATTTATCATGCAAACTTCTCAATGCAAAAGATATAGATTTTCCAAAATAGATATAGGTTTGGAAATATGACTTAGGCTTTACTTAGAGCCTCTATTTGTACTTAAGCTTTGAAATATGCCAACATGTTATTTTACTGTAAAGTTTGGAAAACAATGCCTTAAGCAAATAATTCCAATAACTCAGCAAATCATCTATTCAAGGATTTAAACAAGGCAAATAACACAACTACTAAACTATTATTGTAATCAGATGCAACAAACTCCTTCACAGACTTAAAACTCAAAGCCAAACAAATACACAGTAGGCAATTTCTCCTTTGTCTACTAGATATGCTTCTAACCCAAAATCAAACAAGAACAACACATACTAGTGCGTCGTAACGAGCACAAGTGTCCGAGCATCAAGTGCCCACGAATCCCGGTTCGAAACAACACATAGTTGAGCCTCGGAGGGCCCGACCTTCTTGAACTTGGCCTGGCGGGGCTTGGTGACGGGGCTTGAGAAGCCCCGTCACTTGGCTCCGCCAAGCAACAGCTTTGAGTGACGGATCTTGCCTAGATCCATCACTCAGGTCCATTGAGCAACGGTTCTAGCCAACGGATCTCCCCTGGATCCGTTGGCTAGGGCCGCAAGGCCAACCTGGTCCACAGACAGTGTGCACCGCTTGTGCACCAGATGTCTTCTTCTCCAAAAATCCCAACTCAGAGCTCAAACAAACACTTCCAGGCAACCATGAATCAATCATATAACATCATCAACACACAATAAACTCATCAACAGGCATTCTCAAATATTTCTAAGCATTTAATCTCAAGAAATCTAACATTATCAAGCTAAAATAATAGATTTGGGAATCCATAGTTTATACCTTTGAGCCCTAGCCTCACAGACATTAACTTCTCTTCTATGACCTCAAGCTTAGTCTCCTTCTTCACCATCTAGGGCTCCCTGGCCACCAAAACAACAACAACATACACAGACACAAACACACTCTTAACATAAGAGAGGAAAAATCAGAGATGGAAGACGGAATGAAAGGAAGAAGATGAATGGAGAAGATGACAGTGAATGGAAAAGGAGATAGCTTACTGTGCTTTCTTTTCTTCTTTCTCAGATTTTCTCTGCTTAGAGTGAAGGAGGCAACAAGGAAGGATTGAATTCATCAGGTAGAATAGTGTTCTATTTATAGGATACGAAACCCTAGGTAATAAGTGTTGGCTGAGTATGGTATTTTGGTACATTGGCTTATAAAACATCAGGCTCCTTCTTTTAAACCAAGCTAGAGTATTAAAATAAGTTTATACAACTTCGGGGATAAAAGAGATTTCTTATAAGGATGTTTCCAAGTAAAAACATTTGACTCAGATTTCACAGGTTTTTTTTCAGGTTTCACTCAGATTGACTTTTTGGGTCAAAGCTTGGTACATAAATATACCCAAAACTTAGGATTTTCAAAATAGGCTACTACTTGGTGTTGAATTGATAAAATCACGATTTAAAGTATTTAATTCATACAACTATTTTAGAAAAAAAACTTCGAAGGAATAAAAATAATTATTATAATTATTTTGGATATTTATAAAATAGGATTTAGGAAAATAATTTTGGGTTGTCACAAGGCTACGTACGCTTTGATGTGTCGGATCCTGTGCTACACGTAGAATGCCGCGAAGACTCGGTTATCAAACTGCATACCGTTGTCCGTGACTAGCTGCTCGGGCAATCCGAACCTACACATGATGTTTTTTCATATGAACCGCCTGCATTGATATTCCGTGATGGTTGCCAAAGGCTCGGCTTCAGCCCACTTGGTAAAATAGTCTACGGCTGCTATGCAAAAGCGCACTCGGTCGGGCGCCTGGGGAAGCAACCCAAGTAGATCAACTTCCCACTTGGCAAACGCAATTGCGATGTTGATTGGGGTGTAAAAGGTGGCAGGTCGAGTGTCCTTTTTGGTGAACGACAGACAGGTCAGGCATTTCATCACTTCTTATTTGCAGTCTTTCACCATGGTCGGTCAATAATATCCTTGAACGATGAGCTTGCGAGCCAACGTGTTTTCCCCCAGGTGGGCTGCACAGATTCCCGATGAGCCTCTATCATAACGATCTTGGCCTCATCGGGGAGTAGGCAGCGCAACAATGACCCTCCTAAAAAGTTCCAAGGCTTGCACTCATTTTCGTCAGAAATCAAAACAAATTGAGTTGCACAATGAGATTGAGACAAATTGAGTTGCATAACAAACAGATTATGACTAATTTCTGAGAAAAATGAATTGTTTTGGCTGGAATTACAATAAGAAAGACAGTTTTGCCCTTAAATTTCATAGCTGAGACGAAATATCTTAACGGAAAGACTACGACAGGTCGAATTCGAAACTCAGAAGATTACGAGAGGTCGATTAAAATCACCAAACTCGAATGACCTTGGCTGACACTCTTTTATTAAATTTGAAGTACAAATAAACAATATTTTTAAAATAAATTGAGAAATTAAAATATCTATCTTCCCCATCTATGAAATGCACTACAAAAATCAAAATCCCCTTTTTTGAATTTAGGTTGCAATCTTAGAGCACAGAGTATTTAACTTTTATAATTCAAATCCAATCATATCATTTGCCGGCCAGACCCGATCCACATTTCCAAATCGGCTTCTCTTTTACACTCCTTTTCCGCCTTTCTGGTAGCTCCACCATCCAGTTGCTACTGTTGAAAGCATTGAGCATAGATGCATACATATGTTGTTTCGATTCAGGATTTAGGGTTTTGGATTGGTTCGGATTATCAGAAATTTTGAAACCGCAGGTTTGACAATGCAGAGTTCAACTAGCTCGACGGTGGCTCAGCCGGAGGCAATATTAGAATGGCTTCAGAAAGAGATGGGATACCGGCCGCTGGGTCCATACACTGCATCCAGCAAAGCGGCAGCTATGCCGACGGCGGATTCGCTCAGGAAGATTTGCCGTGGGAACATGATCCCCGTGTGGAACTTTCTGTTGAAGAGGGTGAAATCGGAGAAGACGGTGGAGAACATTCGCCGGAATATCCTTGTTCACGGTGGAGATGATGGAGCTGGTGGTAGTAGTAGTAGCGCCAGTGCTGATTCGGCCAAGGTGGTGGAGAAGAGTAGAGGGAGGAGGAAGGAGAAGTCCAGTGCGGGGAAGGAGAGTTCAAGCCTCGGAGCGGGGGCAGGATTAGGTTCTGGTTCTGCTGAGAATAGTAAAGAGATTGCTTTGCAGGAGAGAGACTTGGCTGAGAAGGAGGTGGAGAGGCTGAGGCAAATGGTGAGGCGGCAGCGGAAGGAGTTGAAAGCCAGGATGCTGGAGGTTTCAAGAGAGGAGACAGAGCGCAAACGAGTGCTTGATGAAAGATTTAACTGCAGGTTTGGCTTGAAACCCAATCATCTGTTGTGTTTGTTGCCTCTGTTTTAATACGGTTTATAATTTTATGCACATTCGAAAGTTTGTTCCATGGTTTATCTGTGTATTGATGTTGGATTGAACCATATAGATCAAACTATGTATATTTTATAATCGAAATATTGATACCTGATGTGCAGGCACAAACAAGTAATGCTGGAAGCCTATGATCACCAGTGCAATGAAGCAGCAAAAATTTTTGCAGAGTACCACAAACGCCTCCGTTACTATGTTAATCAAGCAAGGGATGCCCAGAGGTCAAATGTTGATTCCTCTGATGAGATGGTCACTACTTTTCAGCTTAACCATGAAAAGGAGTCTGTTTATTCAACTGTTAAAGGAACTAAAGCTGCAGATGATGTAATTCTCATTGAAACAACCTGGGAAAGAAATATCCGGAAAGCTTGTGAAGCTCTGGCAGTGCAGATGGCTGAAAAGATCCGCATCTCTTTTCCAGCTTATGAAGGAAATGGAATCCACTCAAGTCCTCAGCTAGAGGTAGCAAAATTGGGTATTGATTTTGATGGGGATGTACCTGATGAGGTTAAGGATGCTATAGTCTGTTGCTTAAAAAACCCTCCTCAATTGCTTCGTGCAATCACTGCATACTCCCAAAGGCTTAAAGCTCTGATTTCCAGGGAAATCGAAAAAATTGATCCCAGATCTGATGCAGAAATGCTAAGGTAATTTTATGCTTTTAAGTTCCATATACTGACATATACTGATGCTAGACATGGCTGTATGAATGAAGTTCTATATGAGTATTGACTTCTTTCACTCTTATTCTGTGTCACTGCTATGTGCCTATGTTGTTCATTCCAACCAACATTTGCTCAAAAAGCAAAGTGTATTTTGTAAACTAGCTGTTAAAAAAGGTCCTGTGTTTTTTTTTATATGAGTTTAATAGGATGGTTTAAAGTTTAAACCAACTATTTAAAGTAATTTCCTTGAAAAGGATGCTTGTTGCTACTATTTGCCAAAACTTCTCTCTCTCCTTTTTTTTTTTTTTCAAAAATTTATTTCATGATTCACTGTACCGCACAACCTATTCTTAATACCTGCTAATCTATTCCATCGATCTCTATGTTGTTGCTGTGCTAATATAATTCCTTGCATTCATTTCTGAATCAGATACAAGTATGAAAATAACAGAGTAATGGATGCTTCAACTCCTGATGTTAACTCACCATTACAATACCAGCTTTATGGTAATGGAAAGATTGGAGGTGATGCCCCTTCAAGGGGTAACCAAAATCAACTCCTTGAGAGACAGGTCTGCTTTCCCTACATCTAAAACCAGTTTAGTTTCTTGACTTTCTTCATAAATCCGCTTCTCTCATTTCTTTCCTGTGATCCTGTCCATTCTTCAAAGTTTGGTCCCACATGTTTGGTAGTATGGTTCAAGAGAGAAGGCATGTTATGAAGTGCAATATATATATATATATATATATATATATATATATATATATATATATATATATCAACATTCTTTTCTATCTTCCAAATGGGGTGAGGAGCATTTCTATGTTTAGACTTTAGAGGGAATGGTGTGCATTACTTCTATAGTGGCTCCATGTTTCTCTTTTAGACCATACAAAGTGTGGGCACCTTCTCCTTTACTTCATATATATCCATTTTTCCTTATTTTATATATTTATATATACTCACCTCCCTCTTACCTATGAACACAACCATACAAATGACATTTTGGTTTTTATTGTTTAACAATAAACATTACTCTCATTACTTTTATATCTCTAGCATTTAAAGTTTTAAACTTATTGCACCTGTTACTGTATATTTGAGTATATATGTTTTTTTTGTATATTTGCTCTTGATAAGAAATATGCTTAATTTTCTTTAGAAAGCACATGTTCAGCAATTTGTGGCTACTGAAGATGAATTAAACAAAGCTGCAGAAGCTAGAAAGACAAGTCAAAAGCTTTTGCAGCGCCTTCAAGGAACTGGAGATACAATGCCTTCTAACACACTTGGTATTTGTGGTACGTCACAGAGTATGGGCAGTCTCAGGCAACTAGAGGTATGATAATGCTGTGTAATTTTCTTAGGAATGTGCATAAACTTTGTTAGACATTATGCTTTTTCTGTTTCCATTTTATTCCATGTCAAGTGTGATATATTGGCTAACCCTTGTAAGGAGCCCCCAATGATCAGGAACTATACTTGCATAAAATCTGTTTTCATTGTTAAAAATGTTCACTGCTGATCTTTGTTATCATGATCATGAAAAGTTAAATTAAGAGGCTAGTTTGAGCATACTTTCTTGTGTTTGTAGGGCAAGAAAACAAAAGGAAAAAAGAACAAAGAATAATAGTTGGAACAGGAAAAGAAGAACACATTGGGTTTTCTTGAGACCCAAAACTCCCTTAGACCCTTTTTTGGGGTTGAATTTCTGCTCCCCTTTGGCCCTTTCTTCTAAATAACACTCCCTTTTATAGGGTTGATTACAAAGATTCCTAAACTGAGAATGATCAATTATTTGGTAGTTTCTAAATAATTAATCTACCTAAACTAATTTGAAGACTAAAGTATGTAATAGTAGTTTCTTAAGTATGTAATTTAACTGTTCTAAATAGTCATTGCAGTTAATACAGTCTTCAAAGTATGTAATTTGAAGACTAAAGTATGTAATAGTAGTTATATAGTAGTTTCTTAATATCTAAAGTATGTAATATAATGGTAATAATATAAAACATCCTAAATAATCCTGGCCC